CACAACTTCCCATCTATCCACGTGTCATTTTTCACAAAAATAGTCCATCTACCAAACTCGGTGGATAGAAGTGTATAGAAGGTTCACCTTTCATTGCAACTGCAGGAAGTTGATAACAAAGGCTCTTGCCAGCTCCGGTACTCATTACTACAAGCGTATCGAATCCAGACATAATGGCATTGATAGCTTCTCGCTGGAGAGGACGAAAAGAATCGAGGTGGAAAACCTAGGACAGAAGATTCATCTTCGGAATGTACCTTTAAAAAAAACGAAAATGGTAGGTTTTTGAGGACTATTCGAGCTTTTTTAGCGTTTGATCTCGATTGAATTAAGAGTCTGACCTTCTTCAATATCGTATCCACCTCATCAGACCATGAAAAGGTCCCGTCAAACTTGGTGCTAGCAATTTTTTCAGCCTTCTCTGCTTGACGTATCTCCAGATTAAATTCTATCTGGAAACAATCATAAACTGAAACTCCATATTTACTAGTAAGAACACAGTGTTAGAGAAAGCTCACCTCACCTCGGCCTTCCGTTGCTCCAATTCCTCATTTCTTTCAATGAGCTCATTGATTTTTCGGCGATTAAATTCAATCTCTTCAATGATATCCGCCAATTCTTTAGCCTGTCGACCGGAGTAACCATTTTCAGAATCATTAGGCATTTACCTGGAAATGCAACATCAGAATATATCTATTAAGATACCTAGCATTAAAACGGGCTAAAAGGACCTCTGGTCGAATAAGCAGGACATAACCGCTACAGACGTGTTTTGATGCGCAGCTGGTGTGTTCACAGTCCCTAAATTCCATGGCGGGAAGAAAAAGTTTTTCAATTTCACCTTTCATATTATACATAGTAAGACTTGTAAGTTAGTAAAACATAAAGTTAATAAATAATAGGTCTTCTTGGTACTGCTTGTCTAGCAATTTTTGCAATGTATAGTGCGACAACGAAGTGTACACTTTTCAAACCCAGCCCGATGTGAATACTGATGAGATTTTCAAAGATTAAAGTTTCTACCAAACTGGCGCTCACGAAATCTCATGTTAATGTCATTTCATAAACCCAATGGTATAGGAGCCTGTACGATCGCGAGAGTCGGACGTGCGTACGGCCATTGCGCCAGGCACGCCAGATGCATTGAGTAGAGGGCGCTGGCGGCGATC